ACACACACACACACACAGTATCCACTAGATGAGCACTCGTGCCGCCTAAACGTTACACGTAAGACGCCTCTTCGAATAGAAAAGAAACAAAAAAAAACGCGAAAACGAGAGAGAGAGAGAGAGAGAGAGAGAGAGAAAGGGAGAGAAAAAAAGAAGAAAAGAATTCGTCGACACCGAAGGTCGACGATGTTGAAAAATTCAGCGGTGCTGACCACCAAAGGAACGCTCGGAAGCCGCTATTCAGAGCGCGGTGAGGTTACAAGCCGGTCGAGAAGGCGAAAACGGTCTTTCAACGAAAGTAGAGTAGCGCATCCGTGTCAAGGTCATTCCGCGATAGAGATTCCAGGCGGATTCTAAGTTTGCAATCAATATCGAAATACGAGAGAGCAGCGCGTCGATATCGGGGAAACCCAGCTGGCTCTACGTCCACTCGACGGTTCTTTGCCTCTTTTAAAGGCGAATCTCTGCACTCGGACTCGTTAAAATCTCATTTCCATCGTTACGATCGTTCTTTAAGGGATAAACGTTCCTATATTGGACGAGAAATGAATTTTTCTTTCTTCTTTTTTTCTTCATCTCTTTTCGTTCTTGTTCTATCAAAGAGAGAAGAAAGAGCAGACGACGCAACGGTGAAAAATTCGTGAGAAGAGAAAGGATCGTCTGCTACACATCGGTTTGTACAGTTTTCAAGTAGAACAGGTTGGCGATGGTCAGACTAACGCGGGAAACTAGGTGGAGTTTAAAATGGTCGGTTGGCACGTTCCAGAAAAGCACGATACAAATGACAATGTCGCGGCGCGCGATCTGGTACACGCGCAAATAAATCTTCCAAGGATACCGGGAACGATTTTGGTAACGGTCCAATTTCAAGAGCGGGTAAGCGGCCGAGTCTCGAAAACCGACACGGTCCGACGAGCCTCCTCCCGCTCATTGTTTCGGCGAAATGAAGCCCGGCACGGGAGCCGGCCGCGCGTGAACCGCCCGATGCAACTGATCGCTGCTTTATTTATAGGAACGATCCGACGCGAAACAAGGGCCTCACGCGAGATCCACGGGAGTTTCTCGCCTGGGGAATATGTACTTCGTTTTGTACGTACATCGTTGTCCAAGGGTTTTTTCGGTAGATGTTTGTACTTTGGAAAGGAAAGGGACAGTGTGCGAAGGAGTAGTATCTTGAGATTTCGAGATGAAAGCGGGAATTTTGCAAATTAGGAGTTTCCATTTTCCAACGTTCCAAATTTCGAATTTCAATCCTTCCAATTTCCAGTTTTTATGACATTTGGAGAATTTAGGGTAAGGGGAATGTAATGTTAATAAGGCGAGGTAAAGTGACCCTCTTTGATTTTCAAATTTTCAAATTTCATATTTCAAATTGCAAACTTCCAAATTTTTAATTTTCAACTTTCAAACTTTCAAATTTTCAAATTTCGACAATTCCTCAATTCCCAAAATCCCCGACATCAACTTCCAAAATTCCTCGCTCCACACCTCCAAATTTTATATTTTCAACTTTCGAATTTTCAAATTTCGACAATTCCTCAATTCCCAAAATCCCCAACATCAGCTTTCAAAATTCCTTTTTCCTCGTTCCACACTTCACCCCCGTCCTCCGAAATTCCCCTCTCCCCTTCTCGTCCACAATTCCACAAACCTGCATATCTCAACTGTCAAACCCGAAAACGCCGAAATTCCCTAAGCTTCGAAAACACCACCGTCCCGTTCTCTCCTCGATCAAACTCCAACCTACCCCTACTTCGAACACGACGAAGCCAAGGGGAGCGATGAAAAAAAGAAAAAAGAAAAACCATTCGTTCCGTCTATGCCAGACATCGCGCCGCTCCACGAAACCGGAATTGCACGATGTTGATAAACCTTACGATCTTGCAGTGGGGTACGACCTGGGTGGCGTGTCCACGTGCAGCAAGAGGGACCCGGAGCATGGGAAGAGGCCGACAGGTGGTAAGGAACCACACTGCCTCTACCCGGGTGACCTCTATCCGTTCACCAGGAAGCCTCTATTCGTGGTCGTCGACTCGGACAACAGCTTCGTGTTCCAACAGATACCGCGTTACTTCGGGCAACCGTTGATGGTGCTGATGTCGCCACAGGACACACCGCCTACGTTGCGCGACGTACGACACGGTGGCAGCTTGTTCACCCTGTTTCTCCACGCCCCCTTAGCCGCGTTTTGCCTTATATGCAACATCGGCAGCCTGGCCGTGCACCACTGGGAGCGGTGCCAGCGTTACATCGAGCGATTCGTCATAGAGGCCTGTCAGCTCGTCACGCGCTCCAGATGCGGTAAGGATCCAGGACGTTGTGTTTTTGTCGTCTGACACGGCTGCAAGAGAGCTTCTGCTCTTTTGTTCTCTCACTCCTACCATCACCACCATCACCATCGCTATCGTCATCTTTCCCTTCCTATCTCTCTCTCTCTCTTCTAATTGGATAGGGAGGAAGAAGGGAATGGGGGGTGGCAGATCGGTGAAACTTTCTTGGCTCTGGCTGGCTGCACTCGATACGCGCCTTGGACTACTACTCTGGCTGACGAGAATCGCTTTTGGAAATTTATCAGAAACGGGGTTTTATTGGAACAGGAAGGCGAATTTCTGGGAACATGTGTCGGTAATGTTT